TGAATGGTTATTAAGTACTACTAAATGTTTAACACAGAGATTTTGAAGGAGCTAAGATTACGTACGTATTGTTGAATTTCTTGTAATAAAGACTAGAAAGGGAGGAAATTTCGTCAACATACGAGCAAAAACACATGGAATCACGAGTTCAGGCCCTGAGGAAAATGAAAAATGTGAAAAATAAAGTATATCGTAATGATAATATATTTCGTAACAATAATATTAATAATATGAGAATGTTTTATAATACTATTAGGATTTTAAATTAAGTAAAAAGAGGGAGATTAAAAACGATCAATTTATATTGTTGGATAAATTTTCATTTTAAACCCCATATTAGAAAAGTAGATATTATGGAAATTTAGGAACTATTTACCAAGACCTGAAAACCCGACCCAATATCTCCCACCCGTGAGCCAGCGATATATTGTAGCGTCACGGCTTGGCAGCAGCAAGCCGAGTGCAAGGTAGAGAGGGTTGGGGGATCTGAAAATAGACGCCCAAACAAAGAAGGGACTTTCCGACAGGAAATGGTCCGCGGGCCAGGCAGCGCCAGGGAAAGGCTCTTTCGACCGCGCGGGGGTGGGGAGTAGTGACGTAGGAGGTCAGGTGAACTGAACCTATGAAGACGCCGCGGCGAGACGGCGCGAACGGGTAACGTTTCTGGTTTCCTCGTGGCTAGACCACAAAAACTTTGTCCGCCCAGGCTGGTGCGGAATGCCGATGGCACGTGGTTGTTCGGCGAGTTCGGACAGGGTGATGTGTTCTTCAAACACATTCGGGCAGATCGTCAGATCGTCAATCTGCCGGGGCACAACAGGTGCCAATTTGCGAGGCGGCCTTGCAGGCCGGTCGCAGGCGTCGCCGCAAGGCGCATGTAGGGAGAGGAGGGCTGCAGTGGTAGCTCTGGCAAACCGCCTTAGAGTGAGAGTTGTAAATATGTACATTGTGTAAATAAAACTTGTATATACTCACTCGTATCTGTTTCCTTGTTGTGTAGATCACTAAACACGACGTTACAATATACTACATTTATTCATGGGACTGCGAACAAGGGACCATCCCGGCATGCACCTTGCGATTGAGTGCATGCGATTGAGTAAACCCAGGTAAACCTCAATCAGAATGGTGGCTTAAAGCCAAGGCACAATACTCTGTCAAAAACACAATACAAGTTAGCAAATTTAAGTCACACAAGAAACGGAAACATTTTGAATTGAATATTATGTCTTAACAATGGTGAAAGTTGTAAGAAACGAGGAACTGAAACAGAAAGATTGCCAATTAGTAAAACACAGCTAGACAAACATTAAGATCACATGAATTATATTTTGAATACAAGCACATGTTGGCACATGCTCGTATGCATATTACTTTGCACAAATGAGCAAATGCTCAAATGCAAAATCACGTACTAATAACACAGGTATGCACATTTGTGTTCTGTAATAAAAGTGATGTATGGGTTGAGTTTGGTTCTATATATGTTATTTAAAAAAGATTGGGAGTGTACAAATAGGTTTTAATGACAAATAACTAGATTACAGAATGTTCAAATTATTTAATAAGGATAAATGTAAATGTGACTTAATGAGGGTAAGTGTAAAATTAAAATAAAAAGAAATACGAAAATTTTGTGTGTCACAGATATTTGATCACGTTTTAAAGTTAAATAATTAAAATAATAGGATTAAATTTAGAGGAAACAAAGAGTTAAATAATATAGAATGAAAATTAAAAGTAAGAGAGGAAGGAAACAAAAAAACTAGGATTTTACTCGTAGTGATCCAAAGAGAGAGGGAGAGAGAGAAAGAATTAAGTAAGAGAGAGGGAGAGAAATAAAGAGAGAGAAAGGATAGAGGATGAGATGAAAGTGTTTATTTGAAAAATGGAATACAACAGTGTAAGAGGGGAAGGATTGAAATAAGAAAGGTATTCGTCATAGCGCTCAAACAGCACGGCGTCCACCCAGTTCTCAGTATTAGCGGACGGGCAATGTCATTAAGTAGTATTTTCATGAATCCAGTTTGTGACTTCTTTTTTAAACTTTTGAAATGTACAACTACTTTTACAGAGGAGGGAAGATTGTTCCAAGTATGAATGGCGTAACAGTGAATTATTAGCTAAAAGTAGAGGTATTGTGGTGCGAAATTCAAATAAGGCGTGACGCTCGGGCACGATGTAGGTTCATAAACTGAAATCGTTGTGAGAGGGTGATATGATGAGCGCTGTTTAAAATCTTGTAGAGAAGAAGAAAGCAGTGAAGTAAACGCCTTTTATCAACGGTAAGAATTTTAGAATCAGCGTATAAAGTTGAAATGTGATCGTATTTTTTAAGGTCAAAAATAAAACGAATACATGCATTTTGGGCTACTTGTGATTTACGTTGCTGTTTTAAATTTGTCAGTCAATAGGAAATCACAGTAGTCAAATTGAGGCATAAGGAAGGATTGTACCAAGATATGACGAGTTTTTGTAGGTAAAAGAGTTTGCATGTGTTTCAAAACATGTAGGGACGCGAACACTTTTTGACAGATTTTATCAATTTAAACATTCCAGTTTAGAGTATTATTCATTTGCACATCTAAATTTTCGCGTCGTTACACCACGATAGAGGAGTTCCATTTATGCAAATATCAGGGAGAGCGGAAAGTGATAACTTTTTTGGGGAGTTTCTGGAGCCAATTGACACAGATTTATTGGGGATTAGCAGTAGCCCCATTGAAGACGACCAAGAGGAGAGACTATGTAAGTCATCGTTGATTTTTTGAGCCATTTCGAAAACGCGAGAAGGTGATCCGCTAATATACAATTGGAGATCATCAGAATACATGTGGTGACACCATTTTTTTATTGATTTGCCTTTGTCATTAACATAAGTAAGGAACGCGAGAAATCCTAACATTGAGCCCTGTGCAACGCCACGTGCTAATGGCAATGTACACGACACACTGTCACCGCACACAACTTTTTGTTGTCGGTCTGATAGATAACTGGAGAAGCATTTGAGGGTGGATGTGGCACATTCAATGTTTTTTAACTTTGCTAACAAAATATCGTGGTCGACAGAATTGAATGCCTTACTAAAATCGAGAAGGACGATAATTGTGATTTTACCGTTGTCCATTGCATTTCTGGCATCTTCAATTACACTGAGGAGCGCAATTCCCGTGCTTTTACCGGGTCTAAACCCTGACTGGTTTTTGTTAAAAATACTGAAATTTTGAAGGTGATGTTCAATCTGTTTCCTGTCGATCTTTTCGAGAAATTTTGATAATGTTGGCAAGATACTGATGGGACGGTAATCAACAGGGGTCATAGGATTGGCGCTTGTAGGGAGAGGATGGACAAGTGCAGTCTTCCAGGCCGAGGGAGGAAAGGTTCCTACTTTCCTGGAGGAAAGGTTCCTACTATGGCTGTAAGCTTTTACCTTTATACCTCTTAAATTTTCATCTGTGCATTTAATTGCCCAACAACCATTACCAAATTTGGCAATCCTCTTTTTAACTTTCAACCAGTGGCGGCTCTGGGATTAGACAACAGGGAGGGCACACAAAGTTACGGGATCAAAATAAAGTTAGGAATTTGAAAAATTGTTATATTTGGATTAAGTCACAAAAGTAATAATTACAATTGAATTATCCCCCAGGAAGACAGGCTTAACACAGCTTATAAATTAAATTTAGTCCTCTGTTTTTAGATTCTGGGAATTTATCTATTACTAATTCTTTAAAATTGAGTCTCGCAACAAAACTCTTTCTAATGATACCACACAAAGTGCATTCAATCTCTCTTCCGACACGGTATTTCTTGAAAATGTCTTTAATCTTTTCAAAGTAGAGAAAGTTCTTTCGGATTCTACCATCGTCATTAGAGTTGAACAGATTACTTTTAGTAGTTTAACTGATCCAGGAAACACATTCAATTAGTTATTATTCACTAATGCTTCCAAAAATGGTAAAAGTCCTTCACACAGCCCAAGTCACTCCTTTTATAAAGCACATTCAGCTTAAATGTCAGTTTGCTAGCTCACGAACGGAGTCCTGTAAAACGCGATCAACCTTGTGTTGGGGACGTTTTCCTGATATTTTTGGAACATTTTACAATCAAAGAGGGAACACAAGGTTAAAATGCTCCGTAAAATTAAGACGGCCATTTACCCCTGCGAAATTTACGTACAAAAGAACGAGGTTGTGTAATTTTCATATCAGGCCGAGATGGTCCAATTATCTTCATGCACAGCCTTGCTTCATAATCAAGATTGACAGTTTTCAGGTATTTTACAGAATTGGAAATCATTTTCAATCTCACGACACGAATGAATGTCTTGTACTGGATGCAAAAATCGGAACACAAGAGCACTCACACAGTTTGTCTACGGATCGGAATTATGATGCTGCCCATGCCGATTGAACACTACTTCACTAAATGCTTGTGAAGGGGGACATCAGTTAAACAGAAAACCAACAGATAGCTCTGCTCTGGACGTAAGTCAAGCGAAAGGAATATTGTAAGTTTAAAAATCGATCAATAGGTAGCGCCGGGCAACGAGGCTGCTGGGCGGCGGCCGCCATAAAGGGGCCCATAAACGCTCAATATTATTGGGCAGTGTGGGTTGCACAATATTTTGGATGTTGGCCCTAGAAGGGCAATATTATTGTACAATATTTTGGTTTGTGTAAATAATTGTATCGTATGGAGGCGACATTGATGATTGTGCAATATATTGCGCAATCGCGAACACAGACGTACAACCGCATGGCAATATATTGTAGAATCAGTCCCAACCAGAAATTTTATGAAAGTGAAGCCATGTTGAGTGATACTGAATTTTGTTGTGTGATGATTGCTGTGGCCGCCCATGCGAAAACGTTAAAGAACTCGCGAAAAAGTATAAAATGAGTCAAACAGTGGTTTATTGCGAGGGAGAAGTACACCCACAAAAATTACTGAATGAATTGAGAGTAATTTAACCAGATGACTTTCGCCCCTTTTTACAGATGAATGGAGAATTAGTTGATGAACTCGTTGCTTTGGTTACTCCTCAAATCGAGAAAAAGAACACTGTCATGCGCGATGCTATTCCTGTAAGTCTACGGTTGTCCATAACCCTATGATATCTCGCAACCGGTAATACGTTTGAAGATATGAAGTTTTTAACTGTTTCACCTCAGTAAATAGTTCGCATAGTTATGAAGAGTCGGAAAGTTAATAGTTTGCATAGTTATTTTTGCATTTAATTGGCATTATTCAAAAATTTGGCGTACATTAGCTAGAAAAAAATGACACAGGTATCTACTGAAGGTATGCATGAACTGCCTTATTGATAAGAAGCGAAAAAGGTTCTTGTGTCTTGGGGTGGCATTCTGCTAAATCATTGGCATGATCAAATGAAGGGAGGGACTGAACAGGGTGGACACACGTGACGTATTAATTTGCACTGAATTACGGTGTATGGTCCCCATTTGTCCCTCAAATAGGATATCACTGATAGCCATTTTCGCAAGCAGCTGTTGTGGATCCATTTTTCTGAGCTCGACTGCCCAACCTACAGCTACTACGTCACAGTCGTCATGTGATTGTTGAAGGCGCTTGGCAGCCAATTTCACCAGTTTCTCAGGGGAATCGGCAGCTTTTTTGTTTTTGGAAGGTCCATAATTCGTCTGAAAAAAAATGAGTGAATTTTCAAAGTGTGTGTGTGTGTATATATATATATATATATATATATATATATATATATATATATATATATATGTTCTAACTAACCCACCTATACCCACACTTACCACCTTCACAGTAGCACGCATAAACCGTAAGCGGGTTATTAAGGTTTTGCTCGTGAAGCGAGTTTAAAAATCTAGGGAGCAGGATCTTCAGGGTGCGAGGTTTGAACCCTTGACACAATAAAATAACACAAAATTGCACACAAACGAGCGTATAATTTATCCATAAACTTTTAGTGGCATAAGTTCATGACAAAACCAAGAATATAGAATCACACTTTTACAAAGAATGATCAAAACACAAAATAGAAACCTTTACAACACACACTCATATGAATGAACACATATTAATTTACTCCAAAATTGATGCTCTGAATAATTACCCCTAATATACACGAGAATTCCCTGGAAATTAATTAACCTAATTTATGTGTATCCCTAATTACATAACACATGAAACAAAAATTTCAATTTACAATCTCCTGCTTCAAAAATATTACATGCAAAGAACAAAATGTTGTGCAGTGCGACTTTACTCTCATTTACAATTTAACTGTATCTGAAATTAGCAAAATAACTAAATTGTCCTAAGTTAGAATGTTTTATGCAGGCAATAGCGCATCAAAAACGTCTGCTACTATAATACTGCAATTTGTTGCCCACCCGTGCCCTCAAATTCTTAACACTTTTCCTATAACTAGTTTTTCCTGCCGCGTGAACTTGACTATTTTCCGCGTTTCCAACTGTTTACCTCGTGAACTTCCCACTTTTGGCCTTGATGTCGTGCGCTGGTCTCTGCGTCGACGTTCGCTCGATCCCAGCTTCTGCGTCCCGTAAAAGAGACGAGATTCACCTCTGCCGTCTGCGTTGCCTTCTTGCGTCCTCTTCCGTTCTCCCTCCCAGCCGTTCCGTTTCTTCTTCGTGCGCCCTGTCGTCCGTTCTCGTTCCACCTCGTCTGACTACGGTTGCCTCTGACTACACCCACGTTGCGAAAATGTCCCTTTGCACTTCACTGAATACTCGTGTAATTTTCCTCGCCTCGTTTAACTACTTCTAATTTGCTAAGCCAAAACTTACAATGCTTCTCTCACAACGGGCAACTTTTATTCCCGTGTTGTTATTGAAGAAATACTTTACTTAATCTGCACTATCTCGCGACGACTGACTGAACGTCTGTTCGACGCTGGGAATACTCCTACCTAAGTTAGTCGTGTTGCAGCGGCAACAATATCTAAACTAATGTTAACGAAAGTGTGACTCGGCGATTCGGTGATCAAAAAGGCGCTTGACGCGACGAGTTGCGTGGCAAGAAAGAGGATCGAGCGATCGGTGGTAAAAGAAGAGCTTCCGCCTTGCGGGGGTCGGCGTATTTATCGCGCGGCGCCTGGGGAAATCTCAGCATGGTGGCGGCTGCTTCCCCTCTCTTTAACCCTTCACAAGGAAAACGTGCTTTGCAAGTTCGCGCTTCGTTTAGTACATGCCAACGGATACCAGGCCGCGCGGTTTAAGGAAACCTCTGTCTCCGCACCTGTTATCCTCGCTGCCTCCGGTAGTGTTCCATATATGAGACGGTGGTGTTATGGGGTTACACAATCTATAACGCCCATATTATAATTCCGAATGACTTTTACTTCAACTTACAAAAAATTCTTCAGCATTGTTGATGCTGGCAGTGGCAAATGCGAAACTATGAGTTCATCATGGTTCATGCAGGGAAAATGGGCGAAAGATCAGAGGTTGGGTTGTAATCCAGTTACACGAAGTTTGGGGCAAGCGCTTGCCACAGACTAGAGAATTTCCTAACCTGCACAGCTGCCGGAATAGTCGGCAAATATTGCCATTCGTTTCTCTTACGGAGATGACGCTTTCCTCGGATCGATGGGAAATTTTATTTGAACCATAACTCTTACACCCTCAAGCAGGGATTTAAAATGTGGGAGAAAGAATTCTTCAAGTTATTCAGTTCTGGTCACGCTCGTCTCAATTGCATCGAAAAATGCCTTTGGCGTTTGTCAGTCCCGATTTGGTGTACTGGCAAGAAACCCATCGGAAACTTCGTCCAGAAAAGTCTCGAAGCTAGTGGCTCGGCATGTGTTCATCTTACACAACTCTACTTTACGCAAATGTCAATGCCACGAGTTTTGTCACCAGTGGTTCTTATCACGAAGGGATCCTGAGGGCATGTGCAGGAAGGAGATACACCGCTGCAAGCCAAACAGGTACCTCCAGAAACGCACAACTAGTGCTAAGTAGTCAGAGATACATATTTTTAATTTCTTTAACATGAAGGCAAGTTCCATGGCAATGGAAAAATTGTTTCTGTGTTCAATTGCCTGCAGACCAATGAATCAGTAAAATTTCTGTATCTAAAATAATAACAGATAGCAAAATAAAACAGGCTATCCAGTGAACGATTCATCTGGATTCGCCATAAATATGGTAGATGTGTAATGGAGAACTTGTTTCGATTAGCTAGCCAAAGAATGAAGACGACCTCCTAACTAATACGTGTGAATATACGTACAATTACCCTTGTGTGAGAAAATTAATCTAAAAATGAGAGCACAACTTTACTGGTGCGGGACGGCTTGGTTTCATTTGCATCCACCATAACTTCCTCTCGTTTGTAATATCCACAGTCAGCCATCATAACTCATATATGTTCATTTCGTGCCTGGATTTGAAGCAGTATGAAGTTTTCTGGGTCTCATTTAGTTCCAAAATACCATAGCACAGGTTCCACTTATTCCTCTGCGATGACTACGTGAGCGAATAATTAACCAGGAGAATAGGATATTTTTCGTAATGACCCCCGACGAATGGACCTGTGAGAATAACGATGTGTTTACCGAAGAGCACTACGATAGATCCGCGGAGGACAACGCTTACCGTTTAGTGCATAGTTAGCTTTTGTGGTCGCGTTGTGTGTCCAGGGTGGGGAACTTGGTGCGTGGCATAAAGAACGGGGTAAGTGAATTATTTGCGCACATCTACAACAGTTTCCGACGTGAGGCCGAACTAAACGGTCGTGACGTCATGCAATTCAAAAAGCTGCAATGTAAGCGGTGTAATGCCTTTTCGTTACGCTTGCAGGCTGCTAATGCATGGTAGTGGTGCTCATTTTTATCGCAATTTGTGTTCAGCGTTTGTGTAGTTATGTAGAATGTTCGTGCATTGTAAGTAAGTGAAATTATGGTCGCGATATTGTAGTTTCGTCTTGTCTAAAACTTTGATTTTTTAGATTTTTGGCAGATGGATATTATGAAAACTGTCTAGACATAAGTACATTGCTAGGCATTTTCCCCATACTCAGCTGGAGTGAGGTATCGGTATTTATAATTCATTTTGGAATCATTGATGAAATGTCTAAGTTTGTGAATATGATTACTTCTAAATTTGTGATCATTTATGTCACCATGGCGAAAATAGTTCTTAAAATAATCCGGTAAACATTTCCATGTAGGTCATATACCTACACGTACAATGTCATTTATTCTGTTTCTATTTGTTTTAAATAGTATTGTAGATTATTATTATTTCGTTATGGGTATTGGACACGTTTTGTAATATTTTCATTGTATATCTTACAATAATTTACTTGCTATTGGCACTTCTTGCATCGGTTCTGGATTAATTCAACAATGTCTATTTATCAAATATACATAATATTCATTATTGGGTTTGCATTTCTAGAATCAGGATAACAGCTCTGCAGTTACATGTTAGAATGAAAATTGTTAAATATAAGTTTATTTGCTTAGGTGTAATCGGAGTTACGTTTCTCAGTCTGGACGGCAGATCTTCGAGTTGCAGTATGAATAATGGCAAAAATTACAAACGATGTCGCGTTCACTACACATTAGAAGATGGAATTGGTACTAAACAGTGTTTCCTACAAGCCCGCCTGTTGTCTATCATCAAAGAACATTTTCAGAAAATCTTCCATATGACAAAGTGTGCCATGAACTCTTTTTTTCCCTTTGAGTGCCTCGCAATTAGGCTGCTTAGTCCTCGATAATTACTAGACAAATAATATATTATTTCAGCAATATATTAATTTTCGAATATAATTGCCACTTGTTTGAAAATATTTATCTCAAGTCACTTGGAAACTATACGTTTAATATAATGAATAACAAAAATCTTTGTAATGTTGAAAACTAATTAAACAAACTTATCGTTTTCGGCAAGTGTAAATAAAAAAAAATCGTGTTAGTAATAAAATGAATCACTACTCCTAAAAATATCGTAACCGCTTTTTTTAAATAATTACTTTAAGATAGGTATATATGTTGTTGTGTGGAATTATCACAGTACTTCAGTGTCTACAGCACGCAAAGGTTTAATATATTATTATTGCTGATCGTTTAATTAAATGTAGCCAAATTATGAATCTGCTAATGAAAACCATTGACATAAATCGTGTTAAATAATTATCTTGATAATTAATAGTTAAAAATCAATACCAATTTTCTACTTATACTTACGTCTCATCAAGATATCTGTCATTTACGTAAAAATTCAGTATTTAGTTCTGCTGGGACCCATTTGACTGTGTGCGTTTCATGCAGGATTTTAAGATTTGTGTTTGTGGACTAATGCTGGAAAATTATTGTCAGTGGATGTGTCATAACAATATCAAGGTTGAGCTATTACATGAAATTAAAAAAAAATCTTGTATTCAGACCTGCTCGTTAAAAAGAAGAAGAAATTTCTGGTGCCAGTTTATTATTTTAAAAGTTAAGATTGCCTTAAAACTAGGGTGAGAAAACTGGCACAAATAAAAATGGTGTATAATCTAATCTTCCTCAGACATTTTCTAGATTTGCAGTAAAGATTTTTTTTGTAAAACATAGTGCCAATGCCCTCTTTAATCCCACAAGAACACTAAGCATATTGCTACGGGTATGATTCTAATGTTAGCAAATATAACTACAAGACGAATTCCAACGTTGACCAAAATAAAAAACTAGTATAATTTATAAATTTTGTTTCCATTTTTCCTTCCGCTATTTGTAAAGAATTGATCACTAAACCAAATAACAATGATTGATATTGTAGATGCAAAATTACAATTCTATTTATTGACGTTATAAAGTCTACCAAAAATAATTAAGGTCTGGTATGATCTTCAATCATGATTTTAATAACAAATGATAACTTTTTTAAAAAATGACATTGGATTTAGTTATTTTTTTTCAGCAATATTTACAATAAATATAAAGTTAGTAGAGATGAAGTACTTAAATCAATATTAACATAAATAGTTTAATTAATAACGAATATATATTTCTATCAAATTTCAAATCTGGTGTTGCTACAATTAATTGAAGAAATGTTTCGAGAAAAATAGAATAACCTAATATATACATCTAAAATGAGGCATGCTTTGAAATGAACAAAAACACATTTATTTGCTAGTAGTTATTTACTTAATGGTCGTTGGATGATATCATTTAAGTTTTTTATATCTAAGCATTTCATGCGATCCTGTAGATAATATGGCAAAATTATATGAACAACATATCGATCAGTTTACTCCGAAGCTGAACAGAGCTTGTTTCAGGAAAAACACAGCGATAGAATCTTCAAGGCATATTCTGTAATATCTAAGGATATTTGGAGTAAAATGTTTGACATACGATTTATGACCAGATTGCCTGATTAAAAGTTAACATCTTATGGAAGATAAGCATTAATAAAAATGGTTTTATTGATACTCATTAAGAAAAATAAATTTAATATTAGGTAAAAACTAATAAACGTACGGAATTTAATCTTACTAATTTTAATAATGTACACCTTTTTCTCTTGTGTAATAGTATGTTGTCCACAAGAATTGGATACCAATTTAAGTGGGAAGGAACAGGACAACTATTAAACTCAGAATTTAATATTTATCAAAAAAACTGTCTAATATTGTTTTGATAAAGTTTTTTTTTGTGAAATAACGTTGTTTTTAAACAGTAAGAGGATTTTTTTGGGATAAAAGAATGTCTTTTTTCTGCACCCATGCTGACGGTGATTGCTACAAGCTTATTCCATAACATTGAACCATATGGGAAGGTTGACTATCGAATAAACTATAACGTAGTGTCGTCATGCAGCTTTAAAGAATTCTTGATGGGTAAAATAGGCCAGTAATTCAAGCACCAGACCCTTCAAATGTATTAGTATGCTACATGTGAAAAAAAAGACTAAAACAAACACTAGACTTCATATGAGGGTAGGATATTTTAAAACTGGTATGTTTTACTCTTTTTCCTCTTATTAAAGTAATTGAAGGATAAGATAAATAACTTTATCAATTTTGGTTTTAAGTATAAACATAACTAATACAAATTCTTACAAAATATTTATTTAAATCAGTTAATTCTGAATCATAAGAAAAGCAGATAATACTGTGAAATAATCTCCTACAATAGCGTCGCCACATTAATTCGCCACAAAGCCTTTACTTTTTGAAAATGCGCGCCACAAAACGCAACAGTGGCGCTATTGCATCCTAGTTTGTTCTCTCCAGTGAGAGTGAGCTGAAGAAAAAACTTAGGTACCCCCGCTTTTAAATTGAGTTGAACGCGGCCCTGGTTGTGTCCTTGACGATTCTGTGACTTCGCGCGAACATCATTCTTCATCAATCACTTTTTTGTAAGAGGTAGACTTCGGTTGTTATTATTCATAATATTATATATTGTATATTAATCTATTATTAAAGTTAATACATACGGGAAAATTTCGTGCAATTTATTATGAATATGTAGAGCATAGGAATGTACTGTGATGTATATGTTTTGCAGATGCGCTACCTGTTGCGTATCGTCACTAACCTTATAAATCATTAGAAAAACGACTGGTGGAAGGAATCTCGTTTACCACTAGATTCCTTCGAAAAGAGACGAGTGCCTTTTTGGTACCTCGCAAAAATGGACGGGAATTTGCAGGAGATCCCAGACTGGCGAAAGGATCCGTGACAGGCATTAATGCAGTGCGCATTTTAGGGCTGAGGATTTCCATTGCTATTGCCCCAAAAGGAAGAACTCTGCGATGTGGTGCAGTTCCGTGTTTTACGTGAGTATATTTCATTTAACCTTTTAAAAATACAGATACTCACAGGATAGTACGAAATGAAAGAATTGTAGTATTTTGGATGTAGCTCCAATCGCTGCCCAATATGTATTTCGTGCTTGTGAACCACATCAACGTTTGACTTGAATTCTTTCACTGAGATAATATTAAAGATGTTGATTTATTTTATTAGGACGATTCTGCAAGATGCTTACAGCAATGGAATCCATATACATCCAGTTCCCAACTAGTCAGGTTACCTTATTTGAAGTTTAATATAGTGTTTTTGTATATTTGTTTTAAAATGAAAATTAATTTTTTATTTCTCTACTGTGCAACAGCTTCTTGCTGATCCCGCCGCTGTATTGCCTGTCTCGGTAAGGTGAGGAAGAGATTGTAGCATCCGTCATCAGGTGTAATATATGGGCCACTTCTCCCCCTGAGCTGAAGTCACACAACGCCATCTGGGAAATGGAAGTGCATGATCACTCACCAGAACATTCAAACCGCCCAAGCTCATCAGTCACTCGCTTACAAAGTGGTGGGATTTCTTATATGTTTTGACCCTGGCAGGCATAATTATAATTTGTTCTTTAAGTTATAATCTGTTGTATGCACGCATGTGAATTTAATGCTGGTTTTATTAGAGAAATGTTGCATCATATTTTGTAAAAATGCGACAAAATGTTACATTTACAACAGAAATACAAGTACAAGTTAGGCTTTTATTACTCATTGTGATTAGTCGTTGCATTGAGATAGATGGATGATGATTTTAGAGAGCAAGAATGTTTGTATTGAGTAAACCACATTTTTAAAGGCTCCAGGTAATTTTTAATCTGATATTGCTGATGAACCTGTAGACATTTTTTCACACACGTTCGCTGAAACATTTATTGGTTGCTTTCAAAATTTGTCTTTGGTGCGTTAGTTTCATTAATTGTTTTGTTCTTTTGTGTTATTGTTTTCGATATAGAAGTGGTAGCACAAGCCCTGATATAAGGTTGCATTCTAGTGGTAGTTGCACTTCAAAACCACTGCACCATAAAATGGATGTTATTTTTTCATCCTTATGTAGGGCTGGCAGAAACAATGAGCGGGCTGTATCACTTGTCGCAAGTAGGAAACTCAAAATAATTAACTTTAGTTAATAATTTAATTTACTGCTGCCGATTTAAATTATAATTTATTACAATATATTGTACTAAAATTGCATTTAATGATAATCTTTACAATTTTACTTTCACAGCTCCAACTTCTGTCTGTGAAGCAAAAATACAACTTTGGCATTCTCTTTTGAGATTTGCTAGGAAATGGAATTTTGAAATAATGAGAAGAAACGCACTAATAGTTTAAAATATGTTTTCAATATTACTTAATATTCATTATTAGTTTCTTGGACTCAATTCACATAACAAATGAAAATTATGGAAATTATCTAGTTGCAACAATCATTCAATCTTAGGACATTTAAAGTGTATGAAATAAATTAATAGATAACTTTGGTTAAAATAATTTGGAATAATATATGTAAGAAGGAAGAATAGACTAACTATACGAAACTAAAAAGGTTCTTTCATTCCCAAACTCTTTATCGTTTTATAGTATATAATCTATTGCACTTTGTGTAATACACAAGCTTTCTGACATTCCTAAAAATAATGCGTGTAATGAAAAGATTAATTCATTTTTCAAATTTGTAACAGCTGGTCACTTTAACTTTTAATTCTTTTAAAGAAATGTTTGTTTTACATTGCTTTTCCATTAAAATGTTTTGTGAAAGTCACAAATCTTTTTAAAGAAGAATTTCAAAGATAGTATTTGGAAACCATGGCTTAATATGTAACATTAATTGCTATTGCTAAGCAGTGAAATAGAGAGCTGCCTATTTTTGCATTGCTTGTAATGTCATTGACAGCTAAAGTTTTCGGATGATAGTAATTAAATGATATATTATTAATTTTTGGAAATCAATATTGTCATGTTCAACTAGTTATTTTATTGCAATTTCATGAGTAATATCTTTGCAATGCTTGGAATTACAATACAGTTAAACTTAATTGGAATATCAATACTATAAATTTTTGATATCACGAAGCAGTTTTCATTCCCCTCAGTAGTTCGTAATAGCAAGTGGATTTGTAATCACTTCAATATTGATCGATGAAAGAGATTTCTCTCCAGAGGCACTCTAAGGTCAAGTATTTTCATAATAGATATTATGTTGATTTATTGAAGTAACTACATGATTGTTGTGAATTTATGTTTTGCTATTATTTCCAAATCCAATATTTATCAAATTGTATTACTTGGAGAATTTGTATATCTCTTCTAGAAAATTTACAATTGTTTTTCCGATTTAATTTTAATAAATCTGTCATTTCATTTCATTATTGAGTTGTTTGTTATCCTGGTCACTTCTATGCCAGTATATATCCTACATTTCCTACTGAATCCTAGAATTAATTGTAAATTACTCTAAAAGGAATGTACAGAAAAAATACTGTGCATCTAATTGGTGGAAATATTACCCCCACCACCACTCAGTTTAATTGGGATTCCGCCCGTTCGAGCGCAGCACTAACGCTAGTCGCGAGAATTAACACGTAGTTCGGTATTCCTGGCAGGAATTTCCTGTCCGTGTGCAGAGTGTATATCAGAGAGTATATGAGCGACTGCCCGTGTGTGCAGCAGAGAGTAGAGTATAGTGTGCAGAGTGGCCATCGTTTACTCCAGGTTACTGCGTAAACTCGCTCTTTCTCTATAGCATGCAGATAGCATGCGTGATTGCTGTGTGTGCTGGTGCTCTGTGAATTTTGTAGTAAGTTGTAAAAATTACAAGAGATAGTAAGACGGTACGAACTAATTTATAATGAGGGTTAAAGTTCTGTGCAGGAATCCTGATGAATATTTAAGAGAAACCAAACGGGACATTTTCAAAGGTATACGTTTTGCCTTGTTTTTCTCAATATGGGTATTATAATACTATAATGGACTATACTATTACAATGTTCACTGTACAACCTTTTATATTTTTTTTCAGTTCCGCGAAACTACAGCCCCGAACTTCACCCGCTAGAAGGCCCGAGAGAATACACAAGAGCTCTTAATGCCATTAAGTTGGAAAGAGTGTTTGCAAAACCGTTTGTTGGTAATTTAGATGGTCATAGGGAAGGTGTAACATGTTTTGGGAAGCATCCAGAACGTTTGTCTTTGCTATCTAGTGGATCATATGATGGAGAAGTGGGTGAACCATGTACTTCAAAATTTTCATTATTGAAAACTGGTTGTTGATGCAAGCCCCTTATTCCTTGTATGCTTTAATTTAGGTATGTTTCTGGGATTTACCTTCGCAAACTTGCGTAAGACGTTTTCAAGCCCATAGTGGATTTGTGAGAGGTTTGACATTTGTACCAGATGGCAATGGCTTATTATCAGTGGGAGATGATAAAACTGTTAAGACTTGGAATACAGATTCATTGTTTGATTCTAATGAAGAACCCATTGAAACAAGGATAAGTAAGGTATTGTACTTTTTATGTGAGTGGTCTTTTATTCTACGTTCTTACTTGACTTCTTTGATTCACTGTAAGATCCTGTTTCTTTCAATACTTTTCAAATTGTTTTGCGTTCTAGTTATAAGGCTTGCAACTCATTTTTGTAGTGTGTTCTTATACGACAACTCTTATCGTAATGTCTGAGACAGCAAAACTTGCTCAAAGAGGAACCTCAAGGGACCAGAATTGTTTTTCCTTATAGAAAAGTATCCACTTTATGCAATATAATATTGTAGAATTTGTCATTGGTAGGAACACGATTTAAGTTCACATTAGACATATTTCTGCGTATTACATGTTCTGCTTTAAGCAAGCTTTATTGTATTATAATCAGTTCAGCAATGCTCACAATCCTTTACAAGTAGAAACACATCTACTCCAGTTTGAGAAGATTTTCACAATTAGAATGTTGGAATTTTAGATATTGTGTATCTGAGGTAGATTCAGCAGTTGATTGGAAGAGTCCAGGGCTGAAGTCTAGTATACAATACAACTTCTGGAAGCAACTTACTCCCCGTGACTAGGATGCAGGCGAGCAAAGTGAGAAAACTTGCCGTTGAAAGTAAATTAGCATTACAATGTAGTGGGGACAGAGTATGAAGGGTGAGCCATGAAAATCGCCTATATGCAAGTTTTATTCATTTCTATCAGAGCGTGTAGTGTAATTTGAGGGAGGGCTTAAGGGGACCCTGTCCCCTGCTGCCATGCTTCTTTGAGGGTGCACAGTGCGCCCTACTTTAACAAAGTCCAGTACAACTTTTAAAAGTTGTTAAATCTTATCGCTTGCACAGCTCAGGCAAAGAACTGATTGGGGAGAGAAGAGGAAAGTTCGAAATAGTGGTTCTGACAAATAATTTGAGAGAAGTAATGGTTTATATGCCATGTGCTGTGTGTATTCATTGTGTAGTGTTAGAGGAAATTTAAATAGTAGTTAATGAGTGAACTGGATAGAAATGTATATGCTAATTGCATTTATCAAAAGTGACAAATAAGTGCTGTCTTGAAAGAAATAAAAGATGTCTGCATTTACCATCTAACCACTTTGAAGGCAAGTTTTCCTAAAAGTATTTTGCTAAAATTGCATTGGTAACAATGTTTTGTGTATGTTCAAGAATGTTTTATGTTAATTGCGTGGGCTGAAGGCCTGAGCCTCATCCTTAACTTGGAAATGAATAGTGTAGCATTGGTTTGACTAACAGTAATTTGTCATAAAAATGTTAAGAAAACTGCATTAGTGAAGCAAGTGCATTATAATGTCATTTTGTATATATTCCTCTTCTGCAAGGTGCAATTAGAGGTGTCTCAAAGATCCAAGCACTTATTTGGAGATAATTGGTTGTAAATCTTATGGTGAATACATTAGGAGATTTTTTGTTCACATTTTTACTGGTCGTTTTGAATATTGGTTTTTAAAGTTGAAGACCTAAAACTAAGGAGATAATATTTTTTGGACTCGCGACTTAAAAAAATTTTAGAATAATAAAAAATTGAACTGGAGAATATAGAACTTAAGAAAATCATTTAAACTGCTAGTTTACATCTTCCAGGCAAAGGGAAAATTGGGAAAATCCATAGTAGAGGGGATGTTAAGTTTTGAGGGAAAACTTTCAGTGGTCAGAGGTACTGTTGTACTAGTGGGCCCACTGACGTACTAACAGGCTGCACTAAATCTCCGATCCAAATTGTTGCCTGGGTGTTGACAAGTGTCTGCCAGTATGACCAACTTCTGAGGGGCCAGTATTCGGAATACATTTAAATGCGGAATCTATTCATAACTTCTTTTTTCTCACCCTTTCTTCATTCAGGTTTACAGAAAGAGGGACAAAGAAGGGCAGAGACAGACAGACACAAGGAGAGAGATAGGGAAGCAGAGACAGAGAGATATGAATAGAGATACAGTGGTGTAGGGAGAGAGGGAGAGAGAGAGAGAAAGAGAGAGAGAGAGAGAGAGAGAGAGACGGGAATTCCCAGTGATCATTTGTGCTAATAGTTTCACAATTAATTCTTACTCCAAAGGGTTTCAATTTTTGTGCTATTATTTCATTTCGATTTTGGTGTGATTTATATTCAACAAGAAGGGTTTTAAGATTATTAAACTCTGTTACACTGATTTATTGACTCAACACCCCAAAAGATTGTACTGCCCTGAAGTATTACACGCTCGCCAGTGCACAATATCTGCGAGGTCCAGAAAGAAGAAACAGGCGATTTTGGAAATTACTAGCTAATATCTATATTATGTATCTCTGTCTCTCTACATTTGTAAATTCATCTGCTTGCTAATCAGAAGGCCTATTATTTTATTTATTTATGTCAAAAACAGTATGTGACCTTATATAATAATTCTGCTTTGGAACTTTGACTTGTTAGTAACTTCTGTTTCCGTGCCTGCACAATAGTGTTGAATTTGCCATGTCCCATGTTCCATTTGTTCATTGGAAAACTTTGACCTAGAGACAAATACCAATTATAAAAAAATTGGAGCTGTTTTTAGAAAGTGTCATTTGTGTGTTTCTGAAAATGCGGAATTTTGAGCCACTTTTCTCAGCATTTTCAGCCACTCAAATCAGTTGAGTTTGAGAAACTGTACGTTTTTTTCCAAAATTGATATTTCCCAGACGATGTCAAGGCGCCAAGATTTTTAAAAACTCTTCAAAATTTCGGGGTACTTTACATGAAACCCCCAGGACATTTCCAAAATTTTCTCAAAAATGGCACAAATTTTTTTGTAACAACAGAGTAAAATTCACTTATAATGGTGGCATAGGTCCAATTTTCAGGGTTAACTCTGAATTTTCTAAAATTTAAAAATTTTGTGGACGTCTTCCTTCATCTACATAAGTAAAGATAGAAATTTTTCCTTCAAATAATATTTAATCTCCATAGTCTGTTATTCCAGTAAGGTCTTATGCAGTTTTTTGAAAATTTCAGTATTTTTCAAGCAACATTGTGTGCTATATTTGCAAATTACAAAAATAAGATTTCTCAAAAACATATCCAATTTTTTTCTTTCAACTTTGCACAAGACATTTTGCTCTATTCTTTGGTTTTTCAAAAAATGATAAAAATTTAATTTTTGACTTCTTGCATCGATTATATTTACACTAGCGGCATTTTGTTCACTTTATTATATTTATGTGTACATGTGCTTTGTCTTATAAAGCTTCTCTGAAAACTCAACCATTTTCTGTAAAAACTAGCGCAAAGTTCCTATCAGAAATGCTCAAACACCATTTTCTAAATAAAAAAAAAGGCTCCAAGTTTTTTCTTCAAATTTTGCCAATGGAATTTAAACATTTCATGAAGTTAATGTTTCTATATTTTATTTATTTATTTTTTTTTAATTACATAAGTGTATTTTTTTTAATTCACGTTGTTAATATGCACAGTTAAAGTGATTTGTACACAAGTTCCCTAGTCCTCATCCAGCCCTGAATAGCATGGCACGTTGAGATACATAGGTTTGAATCGGAACGGTACGAACAAATACTGGCAACAACCACCTCGCACTTTCAAAACAATCGTAGCATTTCTTGTGGCATGCTTTGGCGAATTAAGTTCATGTCCATAGTTGGTACGCCCTTTTCAGCCGTGACGTAGCCAAATCCCTCCTCTCCCTGCATCCCTCGCTATGGAATATCAAGAAAACTTGTGTGTATAGTATACACTGTTGAATTTATGAGTTAAAGTATCTCAAATGACTTTCAATTAAATCTTTAGTAAACTCAAAAATTTTCTGTGAAAAAGTGTTTCTAATTTTGCATTTAAAGTAAACTCCACTTTCTTAAAAAGGGCTCCAAATATTTCTATGAAAATTGGGATTTATGATTCAGTTTTTATCCTTCTTTAATAGTCTTAAAGTAATATTTCGGTTCTATTAGGAAACCAAAAATTGGGAAAATGCAAAAGTTTTTTGTATGGTGATAGATGGCGTCTGTAAAGAGGATGGGGCAATACTGTAGAGTCAGTGAAATTAGAAAATTTTACTATGAGAAAATCTGGGTTAATCTGTGGCATTAGTTTGATACAAGTTGTCTTACTTCTAACCCACCTTTTACTTTCTATTCCTGTTGATTAACTTTTTTTGCAAGCTTGTCTTCAAAGACATTTTTTTCTGTTTTTCCTGATACTTCTTGAGTGTTGTTCCTGCTTATCTCGCACTTCAGTTCCTGGACATAAAAAACTTTCTGTAAAGGGGCCAAGTAATGTATCTTTCTGTAAATGTATCAGATACAAATCACTGCGAAAAAGAACAGTTTATTTTTGATAACTTATCCTTTTTTATTTTGTAGACTGTGTTGACTGGTATTACTCATCATCAGAAAAAGGATATATTTGCTACTTGTGGTGAGGCATGCTTGCTTTGGGAAGAAACCCGCAATTCTCCAATTCAGGTGTATGAATGGGGTGTAGATACACTTCTTGATGTAACATTCAATGCTGTTGAAACTGATCTGCTTTGTAAGTTATTGTATTTGCAATATTTTAGGTGTATGCTTCTGTGTTTGTGTATGTGAACAACATGACCATATTTTTCCAGTGTCTTGTGCAAGTGATCGTAGCATTATCATTTATGATGTAAGAGACTGTGGTCCTGTGAAAAAATTTGTCATGTCACTACGGACTAACAAACTGTGTTGGAATCCAATGGAAGCTACAGTGTTCACCTGCGCTAATGAAGATTACAAGTACGTACAAAAGAAATTCATTTTTGGTATTTACAGTTAACTTAGATGCACTTAATATATTTTCTTTTTAGTCTTTATACATTTGATGTGAGAAATTTACGAAGTGCTGTGCAAGTTCATAAGAACCATGTGTCTGCTGTAACATGTGTTGACTATGCACCAACTGGCAGAGAATTTGTTAGTGGTAGCTTTGATAAATCCATAAGGATCTTTGAAATTGATAAGGTTGGTATAATTTATTCTTCTGTATTTAAATTATAAATATAAACAATTTTTTAAAATGAAACAAATAACTTCCACTATGCAACTACATACAGATCCCTAAGATTGCTCTATATACTGAATTCTAAGGCATAGGGAGGAAATAAGTGCTGAAATTTGGAAGGAAATATTAGAAAGTTAAAATTTCTTGAAAAATGATGAAAACAAGGCACTAGTTTCAGTATTCTTCCAGTCTTTCCTGTAATATGAATCTTATTTAATTCAACCAATAACGTATTTATTTGCTGAGGCAATTTGTCATGAGAAATTTGTTTGTGGATTGACAGCACTGTTCCTAGTGATTCGCGGCTACCAAAATTTATGTAATACATATTTATATTTATTTACTTATTTGGATTCGGAGATTCTCCTTACCATTGCCCTTAATAATACTTGTTTTTCAAATCAACAAAACATCATAATTTGTTTGTCTTCAGCATGAATAAAACAAAAACATACGTAGCAGATTTCCGAATCAAAACAAAAAGCAAAACAATAAAAACCCTTGAAAACCTTTATACATTAATACTTCCACTTACCTTATTATTTACATTATCACATTCATATACTTTTCTTACTTCCCCATGCACGCATGGCCATTTTCTCCAATTATATTATGAAAATTATTATTAGCAAACACAACTTGATCTTCCCATTATACATCTTTTGTGAATGTCCCTTTTGTCACTTTCCTGTTCGTGTCCTCTGCCTTCTTGTCTATAAATTCCAAATTCCAGGTAAATACCAAGTTTTATTCAATTTATTATTTCTATCCTAATACACAATCAGTTATCATGTTCTGTGTCTTGTTACCACACAATATCTCTAAACGTTCATACTTAGAACATTTGTTGCTGTGGCCAGCAACTTGTACATCCAAACATCACTGTGTTGGAATATCTTCTCTCCATCCATTCTTCACAGAGTTGGAAAACTTTCTCCTATCTTGTTCATATCACACGCTATCCCTCTGTTCCCTAAGAAGTGCAGTTCTGTTCACATTTTTGTCATTTCTTAGTTTTTCTATGCTGATTGCCTCCTTCCTCTCACGCCATCCTTCCTGATAGCCTAATCCTGTCTAATGATCTTACACTGTTTAGTTCTTGAATAATTGAAGCTGTCATGTAATTGACTAGTTCTAATGCAAATTTCTCACGTGACCATGTTAGTGATCAATCAACACGAATTCCACTCTTTTCCCTGTCTCTCGATCACACTACCCTTTCCTTATATTCCCGTTATTTACCAAATCGTCATATAATTACTTCAGATTCTCAGTTGTTAATGTTATGTATATTTTGAAAGATGCATAATTGGTTTATATTTAATTTTCACTGTGTGATCAGAGTATGTAACATTGGTAAATTCTAGAATGTGTCTAATGTACACCTTGTGTATTTCCCTAGTAGCAGAATACTCAATATAAGAAAAGGTTTTTATTTGAGATATAGAAGGCTGTTGGTGTGTTCAGATTTTGTATCACAACATCCTCATGCCATTGTGGCTAGTAACCTGTTTCAAAATAATATTTCCAAAGATATACAGTGTCTTTCCATATCAAATCAAACAAATGTAAGAAAAATTGGACCTTGATGTCCTAGATTTGTAAAATTTTTTTTCTGTGAAGAGTATAAGCAAATATATCAAACACTTGTTTTTCATGCTTTCTAAAATATTATTTTTTGGCATGACATTAATTTTCAAAGTTTTTGAAAAAATGCTTGCATTGCTAAAATTAAAAAAAACACTTTTAAATCGTGTAATTGTGACAGGAATGTAGCATGTTGGAACATTATAGTACAAAAGATGTTCATACATTTGATGTATGTATTGAATTCATTCAATTTTTTAATTGCATTTTTTTACTTATTTTATTTTTATTTTTTTAAGTTTCTCCCAAAAACCACCAGTTTCAAAATTTGAAAGAAAAAAAATACCATTGAAATTTCTGAATAGTTCTATATGTTTGGTAAGTTTCAAATTGGGACATTGAGATAATTCTTAGAAATTAAATGTAGTAGAAATGTCTTCTTGATGTTTTGCTAGAGCGTTACCCCTCAAGCACATGCTAATCAGCAGTTGGCAGATTACCATCAATATACTTTCAAAGACCAATAAATTGAAATATCCTTTCACTTCTTACTATGTGGCGGATGACCTTCATAGCTGATTAAATTCAAATTTGTTAAATGTATTCAATTTAGTATTAAACAGAAAGAAGAATATTTATTTGAATAATAATATGTGACACAGTTAATTAAACTGATATTTCTCTTACTTTACTTTTTAAAGACTTTACTTACTTTATTGGCCATTTCATAATGAAATGAACTACGTATTTCTTTGGGCCTTCTACTGTTTTTTATTATATCACTACTGCAATAGTTCTCTTTGCAATAAGCATTGCTCCACATTACTACAAATATAAAGTTAATGTTCTTCACAACATCAGCCCACGTAAATAATTTTCTGGGTAAATTAATAGGTTCCAGCCAGGATTGAAGGCTACCTCTTATTGAGAATATTATAGTTGCCTCCCTCCCCACTATTGAAAGGGCCCTTTCCATAAGACATTGCGAGGGGAAGAAACACCATTCAGGATGCATTGCGGACATCTTTGTGTAAACATGAACTTGTATTGTTTCGTAATATGACTGACCTTATCTGAAAATAAGTCTTTAACACTGTCATAATCTTACTTCAGAAGTTCTGCGAGTTTACTCTGAAAAGGGTGAATTAAATTATTGTTTCAGTCATTCAAAAAATGAAATAATTTTTTGAGGTTTAAATTGAATTTTTTCTTTGAATTATAGTGCAAGGTATGCAAACATTAATTCACAACATTCTGAATTACATCTTCAATTATGAAAGGTTTTTTTTAAAAAGCTAGTGGTGCTACAGAATGACACAGACTTTGTGTCTGTTTTCTATTTAGACCGTAGCTAAATGTCTGTCTAAACTGTGAATATTCAGAAAAATACTAACAAATAAATAATGCTGGGTTCCAAAAAGACCCCAGGTCAGGTATGAGGTTTGCCTGAGGTAATTGCCTTGACCATTAATTTATCTCATGTAGATCATGCTATAGAATGTCAAAGACTGGTTGGATCAGCTTAATCCAATATACAAGTATTAAGAATAAAGAGACTTGGTTTAAGAACTTATCTATATGGGATTCCATGTACAGTGGAGTGGGGTATTGAGAGATTGATACTGATTCAGAGCTAGAAACTTGGTTGGTGAAGGTAGCTCTGTTTCCACGAGTGTAACTTTCCTCCAATTCCAACAATGTAGTTTAGAGTAATCTTTCATAAAGCAATCTGTGAAAATCTTTGGCATAATAATCAAGATGCAGTATATCAAATTCATTGGTTTTCCAGAGTCAAGGGTTTTGTCTAACACGTTAGTGTCAAGTTGGTAAGTGGTTAGTTGTGGTATAATGACCTGATACAAAGCAATCTTGTTGACTTTTGCATACAGCATATTCTTCATTGATATAATCATCTCCATGGCCTTTCTGAGTGTCCTGGCAAGAATTTCTCCTTTCATAAATATTGTGGAAATGATAAAACATTTCCATGGTTTTGGTATAAACCAATTTCCTTTGAATTCCTGAACGTTCTGATCAGTAGTAGAGCAAGGTGAGAACACTTCAAAAAAATGCGTGAAATGCAGACGACGATACCAGTGTAACTTTCATGAAGAAATAAAAGAAGTCATCTCTGTCAACTTAATATTTATTTAGCGCACCGGCTTTCAACTGCTTTGCTATCTGCATCAGTCTACAATATCAACATAATAAAATACCATATAAATACAAAGTAAGACAAAGTGGGAATTAATATAAACGATACATTTAAATTTATAATAATTAGCAAGTTAAATTACAAAGTATGAGATGTAAGGGAGAAGGCATTAATATAATGTGACTTCTTTTTTTTTCATGTACTTATGTGAAAATACCACATCAGATATCCCACTATTCGTGTAACTTTCCTTCAGAGTTTGTAGACATTGATGGATTTTTTTTGTAGTCTCAGAGCGTGTGTTGACCAGGCTGCAAAATCAATGACTTGGAAGTCTAACATTGACATTACCACTGAGCTCTCAGCAAACTTTAAAGTGTTTCTAAAATGCTCTACACTCATTGCATGACAGACAGTGGCACAATGCCACTTTTCAATTAAAGGCGATTCAGGATTTTGTAAAGGCTGGGCCATTTTTGGAATATTCCAAATTTATCCTGTAACTCCAGTTCTACCTTCTTTGGTCTCTGTTTATGGATAATAGCATCTAGTCATTCGCATAAATATAATAGGAACCATCTTCTAGATAATTTTGTAAGTAATTCACAAATATTAGATTAAAAATAGGACCTAGGAAACTTCCTTGTGTAATTCCCCTTTTCACAGTTTTTATTTCACTATAAGTGTATCTACTTTGACCCTAAATGATCTTGGTTCTAGATATTTTTTAAATAACTGTAATACATTGCCTCTAACTCCTATACTTTCCCATGCATCTACTATCTTTTCATGGCTTATCACATTGTATGCTTGTGAGAAGTCAATGCTTATTGCGATCATATGCAATCCCTTGTGTAATTTTTCATGCTTCTACTAGATTTTCCAATAAGTATGGAGATTTTCTTTTTCTGATATGCAAATTGATTTCTATCTATTATTTTATATTTTTCAAGGTAATTGGTCAGTTTTTGTGATGTATAATTTTTTAATATTTTACTTATTGTGTTTAAAATGGAAATTGGCTATAGTTTTCTGAGGTTGAGAGACTGTCTCCTTTATGAATTGTTCTGATAATGGATACTTTTTATTCATCTGGAAAATTATTAACTCAAGCTAATACTTGAGTTGATAATTTTCATTATAATTGGTATTATTGAGTTGGTTTTCAGGGTTAGATCTTTTATAGCTATTTTGTCTATTCCCGGTTCTTAATTACTGTCCACCCCTTCAATTAATGAACTAGTTTCCTCCACAGTGATTTCAGACAAGCAAAAAGTTACTATGTGTTATATTTTTTGGCAGATTGCTAGGTTACACTTATGTACAATAACTTCCGTTTGTTGTTGAAAAGTGATAGCAAATCATTGTACTAAATGTTCAATTGTGTTACTTTGCCCTGAATTTTTTATTATAACTTCAACTAAATATTTTTTCTCTGGTACTCAAAGTAGTTTATTTATTGTTTTCCAAGTGTTTTTATTGTTGTTTCTGCTATTTTCAAATAGTTTGTTAAAATATTTTTTCTTCTGTCTTTGGATTTTTTGTTATGTCATTTCTGAGTTTTTTATAATTATTTCTTAGCGTGTCTTGTAATTCTTTATTTTGACTGAAGTCCTTGTCCATCTTTTAAACAAGTTATCTCTTTGTTTTATCAATTCATTGATTTCAGTTTATCCAGGTTTTCTATATTACCTTTTTCTTACTATTTATAACATTCTTTAGAGACTAATGCTTTATCATACATATTTTGTATTAGTTTCTACAATCCATTAGCTGTTAAGTTTAGAAGACTAAATTCATTAATGTACATTAGTTCTTTCTGGAGTTTACCTTTAATCATAAATTCATAGTTTTTTGTTATATTTTCAAGAAGTATCTTCTTTGAGAAGTTACATGAGATCCCAATTAAATAATGATCTGTTATCTTACTTTCTAGTATGGGATTAGGTCTTGGATTTTCACTAACAGCTCTATGATCAATGCATGAGCTCACTTCTTTACCATTTTTTATTTCAATTCTCGTGTCCTTTTTAATACAGTGCACCAACTTGTGACCTAACCAAATGTAATCAATCATTGTTTTACTTTGACTTTGTTATTTAGTTCTAAATTACCTGCTATTACCCCAAACTAATAACCTACAAAATACACACAAGTTCAAATTTGTACATTTCCTTTATGAATAGCATTATGCCTCCACCTTTCTTTTCACTTATTTTTATGTATCTATTAAATTTTGGCAAATGATGTTCTAAAAGGTGGTTATTCTTTTTGTCACTAATTTCACCCAATCATCCATATTTTGGAAGCTATCTCTTATAACTCCACAAAATTCATCCCAGTGATTACTAATTGATCTTATGTTCAAATGAATTCAATTAATTTTTTTTATTTTCTTTCTTCTTTTCTTTTTCTTTTTTTTCCTTTTTTTTTAAATCCTTAATGTGGTTGTAATTTTTTTGTTTAATCTTACCTTTATATTTTTGTTTAATTAATTTGTTCCAAATCTTCTTCACACCTTATTCTAATCACGTTACTTCCCTGTTGCTTTTTTCATTACTATCTTACCATTTTTAACCCAGCTAAATTCAAACAAATTTTCTTTGGCGTTATTTTTAGCTTTTTATAGTAGATTTGCGTTATATTGCATATTAGATTTTCATTGATATACAAAGGTTGATCATCCCCATTTTTAAACAAGGCCTTTTATTTTCTCAAAAATTGCTCCAAATGTTTTCCACCGAAGAAACAAGGGACACGGAAATCAATGGTGCAGGTCTCATTTTTGTTGAACTCTGAATTTTTGAAAATTGTGTGTTAGAGTTAATGGGAGAGAAATTTAGAATTTTGAACATTAGCTCTAGCGGGTATGGTGGAGTGACTGTGTAATTTAGCAGTTAAGCACACAATGAGTTAACTCGGTGGATCTCATTCAGGTCTTGGTGCCAAAAAAAATTTTGCTTCTTTGAAACTCATTTGCAGGTTAATGTAGTAGTAGAATATTGTGGTGCCTTTACAAATGCGAGAAAGTATGTGGTGTTTTAGGGCCACTAGTTTCACAATGGCTTCAAAGTGCTTTAACCGATGCTCTTTATAAACTTTATTACATTAATTTACTGTGTGAATTTTTATTTTCTTATTGTCCTCAGGCCAATTCCAGGGACATTTATCACACCAAACGTATGCAGCATGTTACGAGTGTTGCATGGTCATTGGATAATAAGTATGTATTAAGTGGCTCAGATGAAATGAATGTGAGAGTATGGAAGGCCAGGGCATCAGAAAAGTTGGGAGCAGTATGTATCTTTGTTTTTGGAAATTTTGTTCTAAAGTGCAAGTTATTTAAGTAATGTTTTGTTTCTATTTTTGCAGCTAAGACCTCGAGAAAAAAATGCTTTGAATTACTCAGCAGCATTAAGGGAGAAGTATGCAAGTCACCCACAGATTAAGCGCATAGCAAGGCATCGCCAGGTACCTAAACATATCCAACATGCAAAGAAGGAACTCAGTGTTATACGAACAAAATTGGTTCGGAAGTAAGTAAAACCAAGTTAATATTCAACATATATGTACAGTTTTCCCTGCATGTGCTGTAGTTGATTTTTGAATTTGGATATATTTGTTGAGTTTTTATTTCCTCACCAAGAAATCCTTAGTCAATGTGAAAAGGAATAGTTGAATGTAAGGAAAGAACAATGAAAGGAAGATGAAGAATAGTTTACATGAAGAAATTATAATTTAATTGGAAAGATTCATGAATCTAATAAATGTAACTTCTGCTTTTACGGGGAGAACTACAGGAGTGTAATTAAAACATATGGGGCATTAATTAATATTAGCCGAACTTTTAACCTCTGCACTTATAGGGCAATTTTGATAATGGACCATTTCAACAGCTAGGTTTAGCAACATAACTGAAAGATTTGTGGTTGAGTTCTTCAGCCCGTTTGACTCTCCTAATATTCATTTGTTTGTAGTTGGTCTTGTATATGGCTTCAACGCTTCCTTTTCGTGATGTCCTTGTCCAACATGTGAAATAAAAATATAGTTCGCCATGAGAAATAATTGAAATTAGGAAGTACAGTGCTACCGTGCTCTTCTGTAAAAATTGCTTTTTTATATAAACATTACATTGAATTTAGTTTTTGTGCGATAACTACTATAATGTTTATTTCAAAACCAAATATTGATTGTGAGATGCTTACGGATGACCATGTTCCCTGCTTCTGAGTGGTAAGGTGGCAAGTTGTGACCAAGAAAGTTTAATGTTTTGCATTTTATCAATTTATTATTTTATATAATGACACGGTTGTGAACCATGAGAAGCCTTGATGACTTAACTGGAGCCATGTACAAACATAAACACTTTACAAAGAGGTGTGGGTAACGAGCTAGAATATTCCTACAGTGAGTGTAAGTACTGTGTAAATTGGGAATCGATTGGGACCAAATATTGTTCCGGTTTAAGGAGTTTTCCGTTTTATGCAAAGTTTTTTATTCTAGGACACTTGTTGAATAGATATTTTTGTCCTGAAACTAGTACATTATGACTTGATTATAATTATAAAAATATATTAACATGTAATATGTTTCTGGAAGAAATCACCAAGAAATGAATATTAAACATATTTCTGATAATTAAAAGCAAAAACATCGTAAATTGTGCGCTAAAATAATATTTTTTCCAACATTAATTTTCAATTTTTGCATTTTGGTTTTCCTTTTACTAACAACTTTTTAACTTTCTGAAGTTGAAAATGTTAATATTTGTAGTTTTGTTTTTATCAACCATTGTAAAACTGGTTGTGAAACTCATAAAATCACACCACCTCACTGCCTAGTGAGTGCACGCAGACTGCTCGTTGTCTCTTTCAATGCAAAATGCATCACAACCAGACGACTGTCTTTCTGATACCCTCGCATGGCCTTGACCAATGCGTCTCTGACTGAAGAGTGATGGGGCCGGTAGATGCACGATTACAAGCCATGCCCGTGCATCTTCCCATGCTCAGAGAGCTGGGAGGGAGGGAATTCTCTTAGGTTCTACGCCTTGAAAGACAAGCAACCCCAAGGTTGAATTCTACACTGACAACTACAGCTTCTAGCTGTCACTGTGTGGTTGACATGACAAACTCATCACAGGGACAGAGAAATTAAAACAAACTTGGAGATGCATTCATTCCAGGAAGAGTATCTCGTGTCTCTCTGCCTGTTGCATTAAATTTGCAGAAATTCCGTTTTATGAAGGTTTTATAATTAGCCCCCGCAGGACATGGATATCTGTTTCCATGTTAGACGGATTCTGTATTATGCTTTGTAAAATGCCATTTAACTTCACAGGCTGAGGAAATTTTCTGGTTAAGGCAAGTTACCGGCTTGTAGAGGTTCTGGTTTAGACAGATTTTACTGTAGTATATTCTAGCTCATTGTGTGTGGCTAAACAGCTGTTGCGGCTAAGGGATACTTCTCTGAATTGCGTGTGATGTTCACTTGTTTAGCAAACTGTCATTTTGGCTCATTCTTAGGTGGATTTTTCTATAGCAAGTACACACTTTGTAACAGTGACTAAGTGTATAAATGATTGAGAATGTACTTGAATGCCCTCAATGTATAAATTTGGGGGTATTCAACTAGCAGGTCATACATTTTCCAAATTTTCTCTGAATAGCTCCAAATTTAATTTTTAAATTTATTAGAAACAATGCTCGTCTGCATAATTCTGAACATCAGGGGATCTTCATAATTCTGAATTGTTTGTGCCCCTGTGAGCGCTCTTTATGGGATTATGTATTTTGTAATAAAATGAACATAGCTTTGCCATATTGCTTGATGATATCAATACAATGATAAATTCTAGCGACTAGAAACTCCCCTATTTGCAAAATGTATTTTTTGTTTCTTTTAATTTATATTATTAATGTATCATTTGTTTTTATTTTGTTGTTGAATATTAAACTTTCAGTGATTTTATACTGATCATTGTACCCTTGTTTTTCAGGGAAATAAACAGGCGTAAACATGCCAAACCTGGTGCAGAAGAACCATATGTGCCCGAACGCAAAAAGAGTGTTATTGATGTACAACAATGAAATATTTCATTGTGTATGGGTGAATAAATCATTTTGGTATACAAATTTTTGAAAGAATTCGTCTCATTAAAGGAAACCTCCATTATTTTAATGAATGAACAGAACTAATGTAATTGTCATTGAGTGACATTAAATTGCTAAAGGTAGACTGAAAAATAATAGTAGTAAATGAATGTTGGAACTAACTTGTCAAAGAAAATGGTAGTTGTAGGACCAAAAAAAGTTCTGCTCCTTTAAGTAGAAGAAGAGTCCTGAAGTGGTAACAGAATGAAATAATTAGTCCAAAACAAATTCATTAATTAAATGTTTTTTAAAGCAAACAACTACAATAAGTTTGGTAAAAATGTGGATATTATAAGCCTGTGAAATAAAAGAAATGAAATGGAATTACATTATAACTACTGATTCCCTAATTACAGATATGTGAGTCCCACTGAAGAAATTGGTTGAGTATCAAAAGCTTCTCTAGTTACTATCACCACTTCGTAGCGAACATCTATTTTGTTATTATCTTCAAATACAATAAGCATTCCAATGTCTAATTTAAAAGGCTTGACGTGATGGTTGCAGGGCTTGACTGCATGCAAATATGAGGAGTAAGAATCAGAGGGTTCAAGTCGGGTGCAAGATGTGAAAAGAAAAAAAAAAAGTCAAGGTTTCTTTATCATCTGCATAAAATATTGTTTAGATTTGATGATTTCGCTTCCTGTTGGGGATACGCAGGAGTATACAGAGTAATGTATGTAGGGTAGGGAAAGTTATATAATGCTGCATGAAAAAATAGCGCATTTTCAGCAGAAAGAAATTATTTGCCATGCTCTGATAACCAAATATTGGATAAATCCCATTGCTAACTTAAGAAAAACAATCCTCTAACTCCTAACTTTGTGGTGTAGACAGAATCCGTTTTGTGGGCCCTAAAACCCGATCGAAGCCGTGGATTTTTAAGGGCGAAAAAAGTCCTTCGGAGGAGAAGTAAAGCCGGCTGTCCCATGTTAGTAGATTTACGTGCATGTAAAAAATCCTGAAGCCTAAATGACACCTCTGAGCTAAATTCAAAATCGCCTGTTTCTCGCCCAAGAAATACCTCCTTCCTCTGCAACTTGGTGAAAGGAGAGTAGCGAAATTTGCGTGGTCAGACGGAAGAGCGGGCCTGATGGCCCGAGTCTCGCCACGTAAAATAAGGCATTAATTCAATTCAATTCAATACCGAAAAACCAATTGTCGACAAAACGTCTGTCTGTCTATGAACACCACTGGCACCTAAATTGTACATACGATTTTTTTCCAAAATAGATATTCCCCAGTCAATCGAGCTTCGCTAGAGGCCTCACCATTTTGAAAACCTTTCTTCTAAATTTGGGGGTACCATGGGGGTACATCTGGGGTGAAATTAGACGGTGGGGTGATTTCGGATATTTTCACATTGTTATGTTTAAGTTGTTGTAGTAAGTTAAAGAAAACTTTTTCCAATCTTTTTCATAGTTTCTTAAGTAGTGTATCCCAGGGTATAGTTTCAGCATGTATTCAACAATGGGAAGCACTTAATTCCCGCGTGGCATCAACAATAAGTAACTGAAGATCAAGTGATAAATTATAGCTGAACAGTTTACTTCATTGCTGCGAGAATGAAGCAAGAATGGTTGTACATTAACAATGTCGAAGCATGTGACACTATTGTTTAAAGTATTTTCAAAGGTCGAGACAATGTATTGCTTCAAATTCATATGAGTATCTGCTTCAAGGGAAGTAATTCAACAGTGTTTGCCAACGTGGGGTGACTTCGAATGATGCTGTATATATATAGAAAATTACTTGGAGCCCAAGTGAAGAGGATCTATGATCCTATGACACTGGAAGCTGCTGTCAGGGTGGTCCAAGTAAGAAAATTTTTGTATTGTAAGGCCACGGAATGTTATCAAGTGCCAAAGTCAACTATAGAGAACAAAGTTATCAAGAAGCACATGGAATCAATTGGTGGTCAACTTGTTATATCACAGGAAGAAGGAACGCTGGTGCATGGTATTACCAGAGCTGCCCACTGGGGTTTCCCGTTTACTTTTGATATTAGGTACATTGTCAAAGGATATCTTGATAGAAAAGGGCACAAAGAGAGACGATTTTCAAACAATTTGCCAGGTGTGGATTGGTTAAGATCTTTTCTGAAAAGACACTAGCAGTATTTCTGTTAGACTCGGCAAAATATAAAGAGAGAACGTGCCGAAGTGAATTATGAAACAATTGTGTTACTTCAATAACATCCACCCTCTTCTTCAGAACACTCCTCGTTGTACCAATATTAATTATGACCAAACTAACTTACATGATGATCCAGGGAAAACTAAGAGTTGTTGTCAAAAGAGGTGCAAAGCATCGGGAAAGAATAAGAACACTAGATTCTTTGAAGACTAGTGTGTCAATAATGCTGGCTGCAGCAGGTGACGGATCTCTTTTTCTCTATGTTTTATTCAAAGCAGAACGTGTCTGGGATAATTGGCAGGAAGGTGGCCCTATAGGAACATGGTTCAATTGCAATAGTAGTGGATGGTTTGACCTACCAATCTTTGAAGACTGTTTTCTGAAAATTGCATTACCCTATCCGAAACATAAAGAAGGTCAAAAAATAATGCTTGGGGACAATCTGTGAAGTCACTTGTCACTGTTTGTATTGGAACAGTGTGAGCGCCACAAAATAAATTTTGTTTTATTACCTCCAAACACTATGCATTTACTACCACCTCTATTCGTTTGCTTTTTCAGGCTACTGAAGATTGTGTGGCAGAATGTGTTAAGAGAATGGAAAAAGTACATACAATGCACTCTTTCAAAAGATGCATTTTGTGCGCTGCTGAAACAAATGTTAAATAAAATATCCGCTCATCAGCGTCAAAACATATTAAAGGCCTACGAAGCGACTGTGTTAATTCCATTTGACCCAAAACGTGTTTTAAGTAAATTACACATGCTAGTCATCCAGCAGCCCCAGAGGTCGATGAAAGAAAATAAACGTTCCTCCAGGAAAATCTGTAATAGCACAAGATATGAGGGAAAGTGAAGCTTGTGAAGAAAATGAAATAACTGCTTCAAAAGAAAAGAAAAACAAGGCGTCAACTATCTCAGAAGAACAATCAAAACATGTATTGATGGTAGAGTCATATGTGGTTTTGAGTTATCATAATGTTAAAGGAAGAAAACTTATGAACAGTTGGTGTTGTGACAAATATAGGTGCTAAGGATATAGAAGTGAAGTTTCTTCGTCCAATTTCACCCCATGAAAAATAATTTTGGGCAACAATTAAAATATAACGAGTGTCCGAAGTCACCCCGTCATTTGAGGTGACATCGGGCACATATTTTTTTTTAATATATAAGATGTTTACAAACTGTTTATTCTTCATGTGAATTCCAATCGTAACACATTTTCCCCATGATACATAGTATTCAAAAACCAAAAGCACTACTGACAGAATATGAAAAAATAACACAAAACCATCCTATTTCACCCCAGGTGACTGTACTTTACATTCACAGACATTCAAATTTTTCTCATTCTCAGTTTTTCATAACATTTTGTAAGAATAGAGTTAAATACACTTACGAAGGTGGCATAGGTCCCATTTACACAGTTAACTCTGAATTTTAGAAAATTGCGTAATTTTGCAAGTTTTTGCGGAGTATTCCTACAACTTCAAAATTGAAGAGAGATTTTTCCTTCAAATAAAATTTGTTCTACGTAGCGAGTTATTTTCTTAAGGTCTTGTACATTTTTTAAAAATTTTAATAGTTTTCGCACAATATTGGGTGCAATTTTAAAAAATAACAAAAACAAGATTTTCTCACAAATGGCTCCAAATTTTTTCTGTTAACTTTTCGTAGGGATTAGTGCTAAATGTACTCAATGAGATGACATAAATGCCATGATGTTCTGTTCTTTTGTTTTTTTAAAAAATTACAAAAATTTAATTTTTTTGACTTGCCTGTCACGTCGTTTATATTTACATTAGCGACCATTTGTTCACATTATTATATTTACTTGTGCTTTAAATAATGTCACGAAAAGTTTTTCACAAACAACAGTATTCTGTGGCAACTGGCTCAAAATTTCATTTTCTCGTAAAGGGCTTCAAATTTTTTCTTCAAACTTTTTGAACGGGTAGTGCTAATTGCTCTCTCTGACAAATTTCATTTTGGGGCACTATTTGTTCTTTTCAAAAGTTACACAAATGTAATTGTTTTGAAAGATTTCTCACACCATTATTATACACATTTCCAGCAATTTGTAAACACTATTGTATTTATGGGTTAATGTGCTTCAAACGACCCTTAATGAAGTTTTTGAAAAAGAAAACTTTTCTGTGAAAAGCGCTTCAAATTTAGAGTTTAAGGTACCGTTTAAATGCCATTTTCCTAAAAACGGTTCCAAATTGCACAAAGTTCTACTGTTATTTAATATTCTTAAAATACGATTTTCATTCTATTTGGAAACCAAAAAATTAAAAAAATTAATTCTAGATTAATGCTAAAACTTAAAACGAAATTAAAAGAAAAAAAAAAATGAAATGTACAAATTTACAAATGTTTTCAAAAACCTTAGTGACTAGGGGTCTGGGTTTTTGAAATTGAAGGTTTTTTTCCTCAGTTCTCCAGGTTTAAGATCTTTCATCTTCCAGGTTCTAATTCACACCTTGCCCAATGTGACGCCAAGTAATGTGTAACTCTCATCTCTATCAAAATGCAGAACATTATTTGTATAAACACCCAAATCAACCTCAATTTCCATCATTTAAACAGTTATTATTAAAACTTTGTTTTACAAATTAAATTCAGTTTCAAGTAAATTACTCTTGTGTCCACTAATTCTCTAATGACTCACACCATTATTCTAGCTATCTTTGATGAAAAAAAACTATCGCTGCCCATAAATCGATAATAATCTTAAAATATCATTGTCACTGAATTTACCGTTTTATTTTCACTGATTATGTAAATCACAAATCAGATTGACAGGAAAACTCAAGGACTCTGCAAGTCTTCAAGGTGCACTGCTTAATACTGCAAAATATTAAATAGTTTTGCAACCGAACATTATTTATTTGTAATTATCCACATGCAGAGTAGGAGGAACATCTTTGGAAGTGTTGTTGTTGTTATTATTATTATTATTATTATTGTAAACGAAAGACCACAGGCACATGCTTTTGAAATATAGAAATCAATATCTTCAAAAGCAATTGATAAGTGATTGTAGTAACCAGGCATTTGCAATGCCATTAAATTACAATGCATAGACACTACTGAAACTCAAAATTCTTCATAGCCACTATGACAACCCTGAACTAACCCAACTTCTAAACTAGACCCACTGCACCAACTAAAACTTCAAGAGGACAGAATATGAAGTTAAAGAAAATTAAAGAAAGCCAAGCTC